TTAATTTGTGGGTTTCTTTTGCTGGTATTATATGAGTATTTATCTTTAGCAGAAAATCTAACACAGCCAGAAACAGTGCTAGGCACTGTATCATCTGGGATACTTTTTAATCTCTGTAACCAATCAGTAGAAAGAGTGCTACTACCATCATTTTATGTATGCAGAAACTGATGATCAGAACGTGCACAAAGATAAACAAAGTAACTACTAATTTTTAGTTGTCCTCTTAACCTCTCTTGGGGTTTCATAAACTATTGTCTTTGGGAGAACCTGACCTAGTTATAAAACTTTGTAAAATTTATTGTTATAAAAAATTGCTTTGGTACTTCAGAAGCCTATCATTTAAATTCCTCTCTGTAAGAATTAGATGGATAATTTAAAAATCTGAAATGCCCAAGGTCATAAAAACAAAGGAGACAATTGGTATAGACAGATGAGCCAATTGATTATCAATGTTATATTATATTGCACACAGCATTGTTATTTTATCATAATAGTCTGTGGATCGGCATATTATCAAATGATAATTCCCAAGCACATTAAAGTCACACTAATTTCTAAAATTATTACATACACTAGACTATACTAAAAGTTTAGTGGATTCAAGTACAATTAGTGGTTCAATAATTTTCATGGCACCTCCTAAGAACCAAAGTAATAATGTCCACTTGCTTCATTTTAATAAGTAGGAAGGTCCAAATAACTAAGCTAGTTTATGTGGTATCTGAGAGATCTCGCTGTAGTTTTCCTTGAAATTTAAAAAATTTAAAAGTTTCATTTAAAGCATATTATAGTCAGTTTTTAAACATGCACACAGGCTATTCTGAAATTTATCACAGTATCTTGTCACCTTAGTACAAAATCTGGGAACGGTAGTGTTAGGTCCTGTAACTAGATTATAGATGTTAGTTTCATTCTGTATAGAGAAAAATGGGTTATTTTATTAGATTTTCCCTTCCTATAGCATTTTTTTTACTTCTATATACATTCTTCCTGTCAAAAATTTCTAATACATCCATTACAATTGCTTAGAAATGTTATACCCAAACAGAAAGGAAAGGGACAGTGGTCAGCCAGTGAAGCTGTGCAGCGGAAGAAGAACTGGAAGGGTGAGTCAAAGAAAGGCACTGGCATTGGCCCGCATGTGATCTTCAACCACCTTATCTCAAAAACTCTCTTTCAAACCTATAATGTTGGTCTGAAACCAAAATACACAGTCAAAGTTATTTTTTATTTTAGTATAAATTTTTCCCACATTACGAACAAAAGTGGTGTCTTCTCATCCATGTAAAACCACACTGCAGGTGAGAAGGGTATTTACATTTCATTTCAAAAATATCCACCTGACATGAGCTTCGCAGTGCAAAGGTGGGAGTCTTCGGGAAAGATATGAGGGATTCACTTAGATGTTTCCAGCAGAGGCAAATGGAGTGTGTTCCTTGCATTTTTCTACCAAAGTATACGGGTTCATTTGTAACCCATTTAGCTTATAATTTAGAATAGGAACTTTGTTTACTTTTTCAAATTCATTTCAAGTACTGAAGTGACTATTTCCTTGTCGCAATGAACTAGTTAATACCCACAAATAAACAAAATTCTAAGTTGGTATTTGGAATTACATAATATAAAATCTAGAATGTTTTGAAAACAATTTAGTTGAAGGTTTTTCATAGAAAGGGCAAATTAAAAAAACATATCATTTGATTAATTTCTCCTCCTGAATGAACTGGTTTCTGAACTGAGGAGACCAATTCAAACCAGTAGTTATAAATGTTTACTCTGAAGTTATTATTATTATTTTGTGTATCTTAGAAGCATTCAGTATAATAATATACCATTATTTTTACATCCTCAAAATTTGGAAGTAGGCCCTCCCTGATGGTGCAGTGGGTTAAAGCACTGCACTAAGAAGCTTAAGCAACTTCCGCATGAGTTCGATCCCCGCCTGCCCCGGAGGTGACCACATAGCGAGGCAGACCTCCCTTGACCTGCCCGCTGCTCCCCTCAGCAGTGTACTTCTTTGATCTGCCTGTTCTGCTCCTCACTCTGTCTCTGGTGAATACTCTCACCCTCCGCATCTCTGGCCTGTACCCCAGTTCTGTATGAATAAATACATAAATCTTTAAAAAAAATTTGGAAGTAGTTTTTGGTTTTAAGAGACAAGCAGGAAAAGTAATAATTAGATACAGATCCATAAAGAAATATGGTTTCATTAATGGCAGATGCCAAACAGAATTTGAGATTCTAACAGCATATTAATATTTGTAAGTTTATCTATATATTCATGCACAAAAATATACTATTAACATTCTTCATAGCTTCTCTTTTATTTTGTCTGTGGCTATGCTGCAATTAATTTATTCTTATATTGTTAATGACATGCATTCTAGAGACTAGGAAAGTATAAAATCTACTATGTTCTTTAGGTCTTCCATTATATACCCTATTTCTACCATTGCATTTCTTAAAGGGAAAATTTCTTTACATCTAGTTAAAAGTTCAGAAAAGAAGAGATATTTACTCAATCTAAGATGATTGTTCCTACCTTATTTTCTCCCTGTTGAGAATATTTTAATATCTTTGTGAAGTTCTAGTGATTTTTACTTATCTTTTTCTCAAGCTACTAAACATATCTCTAATTTATAAATGGATTGATGAAAAAACATTTAGCTTTTGCTACCAACAAATAAGGTATCTTTAAAATTCATTTGATATTCAAGTGTCAAGTACTCAAATGGGCTCATTTTTTTCATTGAGAAATAAGTAATATTACTATATTAAAACGACTGATAACTGGAGAAGTCAGAGATAGTTGGCAAGAAAAGAGAAGATGGCAATTTTGTTTCTTTCCCTGCTTCTATTCCTCTCTCATAAAAGATGATGGAGGGGAAACATCTGGGTGGTTCATCCCTTCCTCTGAGCTCCTTATTCAAACTGACTCAACCTGCCAGAGTGTCAACAAGGGAGGCACTTTCTACGGCATCTGTGGTGGCTGGCTTCTTAGAATTTTAGAGTTTGACATGATGCAGGTTACCAGCAGCCGCAGATACTTTTATTCTACTTTATTCCCAAGGTTACAAAATAAGTGGTCACTGGACCACTGAAGGTATGAAGATCAAATAACTACCATATTAGCAATTTCAAAAGGGAGGGATTTGTCCATGCCAAATTACAATGACCCCGAATGAATACAGTGTAGCACTCTGCTGATGGAGGTGAGGCAGGTGCTTCTGCCCTTGGCCAGGACAACAGTCATGCTATGCTCACATGCCGCGTCGTCTTCTTTCAGCACAGAATTTGCTAATAGAACTTATTTCTACAGTGACTTAAATACTTCTTTAGGGAAACTGAACTAGTCTCTATGTACATATTTCAAGTACAGTCTGAGGCAACTTGGTATTTTTTCACTTTAGTATCTAAGATCACATGTGAATAGTAATTTCTTAGGAAAATGGGAATAAAACAAATGGTCTTTATCAATAAAAAGCACTTATTCTTACAATAAATCTTAAAAGGGTACTATTAGAATTTCAAAGTATTTAGACTATACAGCCCTTAATAGTAAATGTAAAAATTTGGTGCCATGGGAATCAACCAAAAAGACAAGATGATACAGACAATAATATGGATCCAAAGTGAAAAGACCATTTTAAAAAATATAACAAACCAAAGTTAAGATAAATAGGAGCAAAAATAATACAAAATAAAATAAAATAAAATAAAATTTGTTCCATACAGGCAGAATTTTTATAGTTCTGAGATTGGCTCACCTTTATCTGCTCTCTATAGTTGTAATCTACTCATTTCAAAGTTTGGGTTTTTCTTTTTTTTAATACGTTCAATTTCTTCAATATTACATAGAGAAAGCTTCAAAAACTAGAGAGAAATGTAAAATTTCAACCCTCCTTTAACTGGGAACTGGTTTCTCACAATGTTGGACACAGCTCCTTCCATGGGGCAGGTAAGCACAGCAGGCAGCTAATGGGCAGTTTATTAGCATTTAAATGAACCAAAATCCCTTGAATTTTACAAAATACTATTCCATATGAATTTCTAAAATGGCAATATTTTACTATTTTTTTTCCAGTGGTGTTCTTCTTTCTCAAGGAAAATATTTCAAGAGACTTACTTTTTCTATGTTCTTTCTGGCTGTGGTAGTGAAGTTTCAGAAGGTATTTAGCATAGCAGTCTAGTCCCTCTTTGAAATTTGAGTTACCATTTTTATCTAACAGATTATACTTGGCACTCTGGCTGCTTAGATATTAAAAAATGAAATAAGAGATTGCTTCCAAAAGTCACAATGTACAATTTCAACTGGAATAAAGGTAAAAGTCACATGTCATGGGACTGTAACCATAGTCTGTATTGACCACTATCAAGTCACAACTTATCACCAGAGCAAAATAAGCCCTTGTGTTGCTGACAGAGCGACTGTTTATGCACGCACTCAATAGACAGCTGCACTAAACATCTAGATATAACAAATAAGACATATTAGAATCTGCCCTCATAGTGCTTATAATTAAAGTGAAAAGAAAATATAGACAGTCCACAGGGAGCAAGAAACAGGGAAACTAGATCAGTCTAGCTGTCCCTGGGCTCAGCTGAAGGAGGTTTCCACACACCACGGAGAGCAAGCACTGACCATGCAGTTCAGAATCAAGAAAGAACAAGTGTGATCCAAGCACGAAAGCAGACAAGTGAGAAATTTGGCTGTTGACATAGGAAGGAGACTTTGGGATTTTCTTAAAGAGCAATGGAGAGCTATGGATAAGCATGTTTCCATCTTACTCAGCAAAAATACTCTGGAACATAGGAATAATCTAAGTGTGTTTAAATACTAACACAAGACTTCTTTTGCCCCTTCTGCATACTTCCTCTTCAAAATAAAAAAGGTGTATGGACGATCTCATTTCTTTGTGTGGCCGTAATATGAAATTGCCATAAATTTAAAGCCATGCCCTCCACTAATTCCCAAATGAAAAAGCATCGGTACTTACTACATCCAGCCTTATAGCTGAAGCCTGGAGGAAGGAGGAATCCTTGCTGGGCAGCTGCGGCCAATGTCCGTTGGTCGGGAGGAAACACGGGAATCATTAATGGCGGCAACTGACCTTGAACCTGCTGAATGTAATATAGTGAATCAAAGAGAGGAAGTTCTGATGCTCCATGCTACCCACCTCCTTGCTTTATTCAATAGAATGAAATCATTTATTCAGCTCAAATGCTGGCATATAAGCTTGCTGGGACACCAGGCTTGAGGTCATGCCGTGGGACCGACTCAGTGAAGAGGACAGAGTATCTTATAGTTGTAAGGTGTTACTAAGTTCACCCTCTAAGCTGAAGAATAACTTCCCTATTTTTGACCATGATGAAAGTACCCCTGTTTTACACTATAAGCCTTTTTATACTCCATTAAAGTAGTTAAAAAATTACCCTTTCTATTAAACAATCAGTTATTTGAAGATAGTTTTCACATTCACACAAAGTAATAAATATTTTAAATTCTTCATCAACAGAGCTGGAGGAGCATGTGCAGTCTGACTTTCCCTTCTCTTTAGAGAGGTGACTTGGGCCCAGGGAGAACTGGCTAACACAAGGTCATGGGATGAAAGTATCAAAGGTAGGGATAGAAATCAACCCTATGAATCCTACTCTGTGCTATACTTTTTTCTTCATCTGTCTTTTATGAAGCAGTTGAACAATTCCCCAAATGACATGGTGTCTGTTTCAGCTGCCATTTTGGGCACACATTTTAATTTGTCAGCATCATTCTCAAAGCATAGGGTACACATCAGTGAACAGTCCAGCACAACACAATCACTATCTTCTTTAAGCGCAACAGGAATTTCCAGAAGTATAGTCTAATGCAATCTTTTCCTTAGTTCTGTAGAAGTTGTCTTTAACTAAATGCCTGTAAGAAACTAAGTACACTGTAGGGATATAACAGTAAACAAGAAAATCAAGAACCTATTTGTGCCCACAGAGTTTAGGTTATACTGGGCATACTAGTAAACAATAAAACAGATACACAAATTTAATTACAAATTCACAATTACTAGTCCTAACAAAGTATTTCTTGACTTGTTCTCCCTTTTCCCTAGAGGATACACCCAGAGCACTCCACATTTCTTACTTTAAAAGTCCCTCTTCAGTTTCTCTTTCACCTTTTACAGTAAACCTCAGAGCTAATTCTGAGATGTTGGTTGGACAGAGTGTTTTGGGTGGGGTAGGGAGATAAGATACAGGGACCAGGGAAGGGCAGCAAGGAACGAGAGAGGGGGAGAGGGACAGACACATAGTCAGAGGTAGAGAAAGATCGCCCATCCTCTGAATGAACACTTTTGTCTGCGACTCCAAGTTGTATTTTTTCTTTTTTTAGCCAAAAAGATGTTAAACTTTTGTTTATCTATTAGAATGAAACCAAAAGGGAATCACAACAACCAGGAAAACAAGGAAAGTGTGTTAAGGTTAGAATTGAAGTTTTCTATCACTATTGTCAGAACTTTTGGAGCATACAGGAAAGATCAACTTTATAATTAAGATTGAAAAGTTCGAGGTTACATATTGAGCAAATATGTAGAAATAAGTTGCCTAAAACAAGAGATAGGCACCCGCAAAAGAAACAGTATGGCATCCATTTCAGTGTGAGTGACAAAGCAGACCAGCAAAGAAACAAAACTCAAAACGGTCACATTGTTTTGGGGTTATCAGCAGTTCATTATTATACTTTATACAGTACATCTCCTTTCTAGTAAAATATTGAATATATATCATACAATTAATAAAAAAAATTGGAGTAAAGGGGGAAAAAAAAGCAAAACTTCCAATTAAGTGACTTGTAGAATTACAGAAAACAGCTTCTTGTTTTCGTGCACTAGTTCTCAAACTTGAATGTATATTAGAATCACTGGCTGTAGTTTTAAGCTGTGACAACTTTTCAAATCCCAATTTAAATCCCAGACCAGTTAAACCTGAATCAACTGGAGGGATACCCAGCTTCCAGTTATCTCTAAAGGTTCTCTGCTGATTCCAATGTGCATCTAGGTGTGAGAAGCGCTGTTCGGAAGAATGCTTTCAGTCACTACCGCCCCTATCTTCTTGTCTTCCTTGTGTTTTGTCTTGAGTCACAAAGCACCGTCAGATATGTAAGTAGTGGGAAGAGCAACTCTGCCTCACAAGCACAGGTTCTAGTGCCTGTTTCGTCAGAGAATGAAAACAGGTATTAAGCGATGTTCCTTGAGTCTTGCATCTCTATTGCATTTACCCCTCTTGTGAAAACATGTTGATGGCTTGTTGATACTTAGATGAGAGTGGCCACACTCATCAGCAGGACTGAAGATTTGTCCCCAGTCGAGGTTCCTAGGCATTTCTGCTGTCCTCCTTGAGACAGCCTACACTCTTGTTTCAGTGGGTAATGAGAGACCCTTGCATGCTCAGTGTTTATGCTTGAGTGAATTCAAAAGAATTTTGCTCCTCTTTTTGAGTGACTTGTTTTCTTTTTCTGTCTGAAAAGAATTCTTCTTAGTTTTCAAAGGCTTTGAGGCACACCTAATGCCTTTGCCTGTGAGCACTCTTTCTTACAGTACCATCTTTCAGGGAGAAGAAACTCATTTCTAACCTCATCCAGCTAATATAACACTTATTGCACTGAATAGCAGCCACCTGTATAAATTATAAATGAAGTCTAACTAATGACCAATGAGTTTATTTAGACAAAGGGCTGTGACATTATAATTACAGCTCTAGAACCTAGAACAGAACTGATACTATGGTAAGTACTGACAATTTATAAGTAAAGAGAAGAAATGCCACAGCTCCTTCTTTCTAACCCCTCTGTACCTACTCCAAATGTCAAAAAAGGACCTCTTGGCCACAAAGTTACATAATAACAAGGAAGGAATCCAATTTCACCAGAGAAGAATGGCAACATAAAATGCAAACTACTTTGTTACCTTATTCTTGCTTCAGCTATGATAATCACTTTTAAAAAATCATGTATGCATGAAGAAATGAAAAAGCAATCCAGAAATATTAGAAATTTATTACATATTTATATTATGGACAGTTATGTCTGCTTATTATATTCTAATATCATGATGTTTTAATTATTAGTTTTGCAATTTGTTTTAAGAATAGGTAAAGTAAGTACTCTGTAATTGCTATTTTAAATTATTCACTGGGTAGTTTTACATTATTTTTTCACATTAATTTTAGGTATGGAAAGTCTATCTAAATGCAATAACCTGATGGCATGAGAGCTGAGAAGGATTATTTGCTTTATATCATTCTTGTAGTTTTCCTGGTAATTTTGTTTTTAAGGTTTTAAAAAATTATTTTTATTATACTTATAAAGAAATGATTTCTTGTTATACTGTCTAATAGGCTGTACCTATGGCTATCTACTTATGTGGCAGTATTTATCCAAAATTCATTTATATTTTAAACAGTTATAATAATGTCTCAGTAAAAATAAAATTGCAGCTTAAAAAGTACATTGCAGGTAACAATCTGCAGGTAAAGACATAAAGTTGGGGCTTTATCATAAAGCGAATTTTTGCCTTATGGTCATTGAGGTGCATGAATATTATACTTTACTCTAGAATCTACATTTTCTAAGATTCACATGTATAGAATAACACAGATTTATTGTTTAGATTTTACTTATGCATAAAGAAATTGGGTATAGACCAGAGTTGGCGGAGGTGGTGATTAGATTCACCAGAAACAGAGTGGGGAGCAGAATAGGAAGATCCATGAAGTTCACAGCTGAGAGGAGCAGACGGGAGAGATCCATTGTGCCATGTGGGTCACCTCAGGGGCAGGGATTGAAATCACACTGAAGTGGCCAGGCTTGGCTTAGCTTTATAGTGCAACACTCCAACCCACTGCACCACCAGGGAAGGCCCAAATAACACAGATTTTTAAATATGAGAAATTATCTTAGGGGCATTCTGGCATAACAAAATTTATTGTGCTGAAAAGGAAAACTTAACTTGGTTATGTAAACTGTTCAAGAACCCACATTTAGTTAAAAGCAAAATAAACACCTGAACTACATTTTCTACTTTAATCTAATACTCAGTTTTATACAGCAGGAAAAAGCTAGGTGGGTTCCTGTGCTGCCAAGGGTAAGAGAAAAATAAAGTGAAAGTTAATCCTGATTTCATCCATCCAGTGATGGGTTTTCTTTAGAATATCAACAAAGTATCTGAATAAACTATAAAATAAATATAACCGAAAAGGTGTGGTTAATCCATACTTGCAACTAGCAGCACACTTTAAAATACAGTTACAGTGAATACCTACAGATTCTGCATCTAGAATTTATGTAGTAACTAAAGCTTACTTATGTGAGACATCCTGCAGGAGAGGAAGAGGAGGAGTGATCATTGAAAGGAGGAAGGTGGAATCACAGGGACTGTGGCTATGGTGCAGGGGTGAATTGTGGGAGGAAATTCTATGGGGTCTACACCGGAGGGGAAGAAAGTAAACATTGCTGAAAAATGAACAATGATGGGGCCCTCCCCGGTGGTGCAAGCACAGTAAGTACTATGAAGCTATCTGAAGTCACTGCAGCATGAGTTCGATTGCCAGCAGGGAGGTGACCCACATGGCATACAGACCTCTCCTGTCTTGCCTGCTGCTCCCCTCCCCTCAGCAGTATATTTCAATCAATTGGCCTATTCTGTTCCCCACTCTGTCTGTGGTGAATCCTCTCACCTATACCCCACCTCAGACCTTTGACCTGGACCCCAGTTCTTATATGCAGAAATAAATCTTCAAAAAAATGAGCAATGATTTTAAAATATATATCAATAAATTTAATTAAAAGAAACCAAAAAATTATTTGTGCAGCAAAGTCAATACTAACAGCACTTTTGCAGCCATTTACAGACTCAAAGTGGTAAGAAATGTTGGTGGTGGTTTCACTGTTCAAATAAAAAATGAATGCATAATCAATATTAATAACATGTCTAAACAAAAATGCACATAAAGCTAGGTTAGGCACTGATTGATGGAAATGGGTCTGACCAGAAGTTCAGAGCAATGTTACTGAACTTTTCCCAGGAGCGTATATTCCATATTCGCTAATTCAGTATTTGTGGTGACTTGGGAGC